TTGTAGCTGTAGAGTTACTAGGATATCCTAGTGGCAAATCGACCTCACAGTGACTTGAAATAGTATCACCTTTATCAGAGGAGAACAGAGCAATGTTTTTATTTGTGTTCAGTGTGCACATTTTATTCAAATAAACAGAGTTTGACCTCATGCAAGCATCGTCTCTAGTATCTGTTACACAGAGGGTAGGTAGTTTTGCCATTATACGTGGTGGGTGTGTGGGGCTGGTGATACCACTTGGAGGATTCAATAGACTTGTTGCACTTTCGCATCTGTTGACACCACTTGGGTAGTTGGTGTCTAGGATTTGTGTATATGTTTGACTGTCTTTTCTGTTGCTCCGAGGGCGCTAAGATTAGCGGTTCAGAGTAAGGGGTTTCAACATCACCATCAGCCGTTTGGCCAAAGCTGCAGCTGATAGGGATGCATTGGATAAAAAATCACCGTGTTTTTGTGGTCCATGTAAACTTCTGTTCTGCGTTGTATTCCTTACCAGTGACTGCCTTCTGTTGCAATTCACAACGAACGTAACTGGCTTAATGTTGGATTGGGGGGTGTCTCCTAGTAAGCTAGTGCCATGTAGCCGACCAAGGTTTTTCCTCACAAAGCATCCCGCTGACATTCTATTATAGGCGGTTTGATGCTGGCTTTTCTCATTAGTATAAGATGGGGTTGGGTTGTTGTGGCGTCTATTTTTGTTCTCGTTGCTAGTGAGACTTGGCTCAGTGCATAGAACCTTCCTGGTAGAGCTACTGTTCATACTTCTGTCAATTGCAGAAGGGATAACGGGATCACTCAGGATCATTTTATGCTTTCTGCCTCCGTCTCTACAAGTTGGGTTCCGTGAAAGCATTGGTTTATCTGTTGTATATCGAGTGGCCGATATCCTAGGACCTAGGCTGGTGTGATTAGTAGACTTTAGGCCCGCAGTAGACTTCAGCAAGGGTTCTGCAACGTTTAGTGCTGTGTCAAGTTTCACTTTGGGGCTTTCTATGGGTATGTCTAGATCTACAGTTTCAGGTGGTCCAGTCAAATCATGCATTTCGCAGTCTTCCGTCTCCACGTTGGTCGGTGTGTTTTTCCGTATATTTGACTTGATAGAGTTTGTGGAAGGAGAAGTCCTAGGCTTGGGTATATTGGGGGAGATACCTACTGCTTAAGTATGTTGCAGCTTTAGAGCCTTTTGACTGCCAGGCCAATTTAAGTGCAAGTCTTTTACTTACTTCAGGGGTGATAAAGTTTACCAGGTGATCTGCCTTGGATGGTGTTTCGATGTCAACTTCATTAATGGATTCACTACACGTCAAGATGCTCAGTGGCAAGAGGTCGCTAATCTGAGCTCTAATTTTATCCTGCTGGGGTGACACCTCAAACGCCCTGAACACAATTTCTCGTGGTGCATTATTCTGTTTGTCATCCTTCAGTCTGCGTATTTCTGCTCTTAGTTCCTCTACGGAGGACTTCAGGCTCTCGATTTCTGGAAGACATACTTGGTGGCTGAAGTCTAGTTAGTCTCACAAAAGATGTGGAGCTTACATTAAGCTTTACGTCTTCTGCAACATTTAGTGCTGTGGTCTTATTACACGTTGGGCATGCAGAGGTATTTCCATTATTATTGACGTTGGCTGTCTCATCGAACGCAGTTCTCCTTCTCTTGAGGATAAATGGATTTAAGGCTGACTCACTTAAGTCGTTGCAAGAGGAATCTGCTTTTTTTGTCATCAACATTTGGGTACTGTTGATCCACTGTTCCTTGGACGGTTGTGTCCATGCCTTTTTACACGCATTAGCCATACCCAGTTGCATGTCCGACACGTGCTCAGTCATCTGAGAATTCAGTAGCCTTATGATGACGTTAATAACAAAGCTATGATACAGTTACGAAATCACGCTAAAATGTAACGCAATTTCAAACGTACCGCCTTGTATGTAAATAAACAGGTAAAATGCGGGAGGAGTTTTGGATTCTCATTATATAGAAAAAACGGTGCCCTGAAATAATTAATTTTGATTTCAAAAAATAGTTGGCACATTTTATTTTACGCTGCTGACCTGAATTTGACTTTAGATACTCCGGGAACCTGACGGCTCAACCTTATCGCATGCCTTTTGTGCCGGTGTTTGTTTCATCTGTGTGTTACCAGACCCATCGTTAGTCGGCTATGGTAAGCTGAAACGTCGTTTATGATGGCTCTGCCTTCGGAATAATCGATTTTCAAACGGTCGATACCAAAAGTGTCTTCGTATCCTCTTCGCTCGATTATATGGAATTTCTCGCGCCACTTGATCCCTGTGAGTCGCCCGTCTCAAGGTGGTTGAAGTGGTCTACGAACGGCATTGCGGCGACGGAGCATATGTGATATCTTTTGTAAAACGTGGCGAACGAAGGCATCAGTCCTTTGAGGTCCAACAGGAATGGGCCTAACTGAACGCATAACGTTTGTAGGCCGAGTCAAGCAAGATGTCCTGTCGAAAACATGCTTGAAAGCTGTAGGGGAGGGAAGCTCACCTGGTATGCGAAGTGTAGTCTCAAAGACGAGTTCTGCAGAGGTGCATCCCACGCCAGCTATCGACGCACTGTGAAGGCAACACCATGATCATTCCCCTCGTGACTAGATAAAGGGTGGTGGTCCTAAGAACAAAAAAAGAAACCACGAATTTCACACAAATGTTTATAACTTCATCATACGCTTATACATAGGTATATAACAAGCTAATACCTGGTCAAATATCCTCTAATCTTTCTATTTCGTAGTGATATCTTCAGCTTCAGGCTGACTTTCATTACTGTCGTGCGCACCTTCATCTTCTTCCACCTAAGCTTACCTCTAAACAGTTGGTTCTGGACACTTCCTCAAGTAAGTTTAATAGTCAGTACAAACTCACCCCGATGTATCATGGTCGATCTACTCCTGCGTATTTTTGTGCCCCTGTTACAAATTTCGCCTGCTGCTTGCTTTTGTTATTCACTTTTCAGATTTACTTAACCAGTCCTGCATTCAAATGGAATCCTACAAATCGCATTCGTCAGTGGAAAATATTGGCACCGAAACCTGATGACGAACGCGCACACCTCAAGGCCATGACTGTGATGAGGCCTCACCTTCAAGAATATTGGATGATTCAAACGACGACCGGATAATCTTCAAATTCGAACTGAGCCTGCTTCAACATGCCTCCTATATGCCATAAATCACAGCATCTAATGTATAGCATAACATTGTACATAATAGTCATCTCACATTACCAAAGTGATCAAACCTGTAAACTGGTTTGTATCCATGTAACCCTTGTTGCATGAAATATATTATTATTATTATTATTATTATTATTATTATAACTAGTGGGACTACAGGCAGAGCATTTGTCCGCTGAGGTGTTTTTGCAGCTAGAAGAGGAGCTTTCAACTGTCGAGGGGAAAGTTCTGCGGTTGCATTTGCTTTTGGATGAAAGGCTGTCGTATGGAACCGAGTGCAGCCTAAAAGTGCAGTTAAAGCGTGAAATAATCCATACTCCAATTGGTGCGCCCAGTCCCTTTTACGTAAGCTGGACATCCAAGGCTCGCGATCCATATTTCAATGAAAACAGGAGCGATAGTTTCAGCAGTAATATGCTTAATAAATGCTGCTGCTGGCCATCGTATAAAACGATCCACGCAGGCGAAAAGGTGAGTAAATCCATTAGATTCTGGTAGAGGTCTTACGATGTCTTCATGGACTTGGTCTAAAAGCACATCCGGCGCTAGAAAAGAACCTAAACGGCTTTTCGTGTGCCGTGTGACTTTGCACTTCTGGCTAGCCAAGCAGGAGTGGGCCCACTCCTTAAAGCCTTTGTTCATCCACAGCCGGCATAAACGCTGTGCAATAAGCCTGATGGCGGTCGTACACCCGGATGGGGCAGACTATGCAACATATTGAAGGCGTTGTATCGACATATCCTTGGAACTATTAGGCGGGGTTGGATGGCAGAGACGTCGCATAAAACCGTATTCTTGCCTGATCCTACTGGACACAGCTGTAGCTTGAGAGTTGTGGACGACAACTCATGATGCAGCTCAAGGTCTTCTTTTTGACACCAAGCTAGTTCAGCGAGATCAACGCCCTCCATGTGGTTTGTCGAAGCTATTCGAGATAGTGCACCGGCCACGGAGTTAGCTGCTTTAGACGTGTGGCGGTAGTCTGACGTGAACCGGGGAATGTAATCCAGTTGCCGTGACCCACTAGGCGAATACTTGTCAGACACCGAGCTAGGAGAGGAGGTCAACGGTTTGTGGTCTCTGAAAATAATGAAGTCACGACCTCCCAACGAATGTCGAAAACGCCGTGCAGAACAGTACACGGCTAGGAGTCCCCTACCAAATGCACTGTATCTTATTTCCGCCTCTTGCAGCTACCTTGAGAAAAAGGCTAGAGGTTGCCACCGGTTGTCAGTCAACTGTTGCAGAACTGCTCCGATTGCTGAGTCACATGCATCAGCAGCAATACTCAAAGGAGCACTGTGGTCGTGATGCATTAGCATGATTGCGTCTGAAATGGCTTCCTTGACTTTAGAGAAAGCAAGTGCAGCCACGTTGTCCAGAGTCATGAACTTTGTAGTCCCTCGAAGTAGATCTGTGAGTGGTCTCATGACAAAGGCACAGTTGGGGATAAACCTTCGGTACTAACTTACCAGGCCATAGAAGTGAGGAGCCGCTTCACAGTGGTCGGCTCCGGATAGTTCGTGAAAGCCGCCACTTTATCTCTCAATGGGCATATACCACTGTTGTCAATGCTATGTCCAAGGAAGCTGAATGATTCAACTCCTGTTTCACACTTCTTCAAGTTTACTGTGATGCCATATTTTTTAGTCCTTCGAATACGAGGTCCAAATGTTCAGGGTGAGTTTCCCTGTCCGGACTTGCAATGAGACAGTCATCGATGTAGACGTGGACAACATTTAAACCACGGAAGACATCATCCAAAAAGCGTTGGAATGTTTGTGCTGCATTTCGAAGAAAACATGACATGCGCGGGAATTCAAACAGGCGAAAAGGAGTTATAATGGCTGTTTTCGCGATATCTTTTGCTGCCATAAATATCTGTTTGTACGCTTTGACCAAATCGATTTTGGAGAAAATGTTCATTCTGCATAAGGTTGCAGTCAAGTCGTAAACGTGAGGTATCGTGAACAGCGCTGGGTGATGGGGAAGAAAGACTGAGGAGGCGCCTGCGTTGGGGGAAACTCGGCAACTGTTTATGTTTTTAAATAGTGACACCGACAAGAAGTTGATTACGAGTAAAATCATCAGAAAAAGGAGGGAACGCTGACAAGCTTCCTGAACAGGGGGATGGTATGCTCAGCAGAACACTTGGGGGCACAGTTCAATTGGCTCTCAACAACACTTCATTTGCTCAATGTCGTTCCTCAATCCGAATGGGACTCAGATGTTGGCTCTCCTATTGTCTAAGAAACTGAGGGATCCATTTCGAATCTGAAACGGTGGAAAGCAGCAGAATGTGGCACGTGAGTCTTTCAGGGATTGAAGTGAGACTGTTAGTAAGGGTGTTGTGGGTGATAGGTAGCCCATGGCAATCAGAGGTAGTCTGTAAAGACCGGTGGACTTTATTGATCATGCCAGATGAAAAGAAGGAGGTGAAATCTTCTCTTGACAGCCAAAGATGAATTAGCCTGGCTTACATTGTATCCAAGGTCCTAGGGTTCACAGTTATTCGGCGCCAAACCAGAGCTCGAGAACGGCAAACCTGAGAAGAGTGGGCAGGCCTTAGGTCTGGCAGACAGTGCATCGTTCAGGTTTCCGCCTTCTGACAGGTTCCGGAACACAGGCACGCCTACCGACCAGTGGCAGACACTTGCCATATTTGTTGACATGGTGCTGTGTCTGAATCGGTAGACAGTGAGTTGTTGTGCTGCATCCAACTGTGATGGGAGTACCGTGAAAGTCTGTTTTGCTAATCGCAGCTTTCTAATAGAACCTCTCGAGCCATGTCAGGGCTAATGCGGAGTTGTCATATGAATTGACCACTAGTGGTATTCTCAAAGAATGTGCACCGTCAACGCTCCCATTTGATTTCTTTGCAACCCCAACAGTAGACATAAACTTTGGTGCTTCAGACTTCACAGAAGTTGGCCTAAGCCCTGTAGGTCAGCTGACAGACTCGGAATATGCAGGACTACCTGAAGGTTTGATAGTGCCTAGTTGTAGCATGTGGTCGAATTCACCTTTCGCCGTTTTGAGCTTATCAGGGGACTAGGCTGAGTGTTTTGGACGCCACCGGTGGACCTGTGTTTGTGGCGTGATGCATAACATTTCTGGTTATACACGGAAGGGCATGCTTCGGCTGTAGTAACTCCGGATATTTCTTCAACACTGCATGAGAGGATGCGTCGCCGGAGTGTTTTTCGTTTGCGCTGGCTAAACTCGGGCCTACGTAGGTGATGCCGTCAGTTGATAACTTTCTGTTGCTATCTGTCAGTCATCAATGATGGGCATCAACGAGTAGATTGTAGTGGCGCAGCAAATCTGTGCCAGTGATGGGCACAGGAACACCAGGAAGGAGGAAAATCCAGTGAATGGGTTTACGTAAACCCAAGTTGGGTTGGGTATACCGTCTCCCAAACGTCGCGATTGCCTTGCCGCTAGCTGCTTGAAGGTCGAAGGATGGGCCTTGGAGACGCTTCACTGTCAGCACGGGAAGAACGCTAACTCGTGGACCGGTGTCGACGAGATAGTGAACTTTCGTTTTTATAACTGTGACGTAGAGTGAACGGCTGTGTTCCACCCTGTTACGTTTCGTTTCTGGATAACCACGTGAGTTGCTGCGATGGGCTGAGATGCGTTTCTGTGATGCGCTACTTAACCTGAAGCTCCGAGTTCGTAGCAGCTGTTAAACAGAGTTGCACAGCTTGACTACTTCTGAGTCCTGGCTCATTGGTTTATCGCAGACAGGATATGCTTTGGAGACTGGACTGCTGGACATCTCCAGTATTTTATCTGCCGAGGCTGCCAGGTCATCGAGTGGAACTGGCTGCAGTGTCACTAACACGGCTTGCACCGGTTGTGGTTGTTTCACGAGAAGAAGTTTTCGGAAAAGGCTATTACCGAACGTTCGTGTGCTCATTACTTCTCGCATGCGCACAGGGACATCAGTGGCTGAGTTGTTGCCTAAATCGATATTACAAAGCAATTCGTTCTTGGCGCTGGCGATCTGTGAGTTGACCTTTCCTCAATACTGCAGCTTCGAGAAGTGCATAAGGATCACTCACTTCAGGACTAAACATATGCGCTGTAACATGTCTGTTTAATTCCCGCGGTAGTGAAAATATGACAGCAAGAAATTGAGAATGAGGGTCTTCTCGAAAATCTGCCTCGGCATACGGAGACCATGTTTCTGCATTATCTGGCCACTATGACACAAGCTGGATAATGTTCGTAGTCAGCTTAATACGGATAAGCCTCGTAATATGGTCGGATATGGGAAGGATTTGTATATGGATATATAAAGGCCATCAAAATGAAAACAACATACAGGTAAAAAAATGGAGTGGGATCACCAATTTAAGATTTGTTCCTGATCCGAGTTTGTTGTCACTTCGGGATCATTAGTTTTGGAATTGTTCTGGTGTGAACTCGACAGACGCGGAAGCCAGTTACCAATTATTCGAACTTGTTATATACCCACGAATACGAGACCGGGAAATGACACAGTAGCGTAGTTGGATGGAATAGTCTACTTGTGAGGCCGTGCCAAGATACCGATGCGCTCCAACTAACTGACTAGAGGGTCGAGTACAAGTGGCGCAACATAGCCCTACAGCGTGCGGAATGGCTAGGATGCTTAACCGGGTGCCTTCAGCTTGACGAGTCTGGTAAAACTATCATGGTCAGCATCAACGTTGGATCTCATCGAGCCCTAGGCTATTGATTCTGGAGAAGTGTGTGACGCTACGCCGTCCGACCCACAGAGGGTGCTGTCGTTAATTTTTCGTACTGTGCAGCCATCTGGCAGGTTACAATCGGACTTTTGACTCGGAGTCGTGCTGCATTGTTGAAGCCACCAGCTATTAGGATCTGAATATTACCTGGAGTAATTTTTGGTTTTCTGCTTCCACCCTAGACCCCAATAGTGACTAATCCTTTTGCAAAAGTTGTCATCCAGCTGAGAATGAGTTACAACTATTAACTAGAACTTCTGGCGATCAACAACCGATAGTAGACCATTTATAATCCAACCGTTCGGAGCGGTGGTTAACTAACCTGTAATAAACACAGCGAATCAAATTTCCTATCAACGCAAAGTGACTTCAAACCTTTCTTCAAACCAACCCGTATAAACATTTTCCACTTTTTCTCGATGCACCTGGCAAACTCCATGGTAGCAGTGTTAAAATACTGCCGAAAAGTTCCATGGTTTCGTTAGCGTATGCAGGTGTCATATTAGTCACTAAAATCATTCCTGTCAATATGTTAGGAGTTCATACTCAATTTTTCTTCGGCTTCAGCCAACTAGACTGCTGATGTTTCTTGAACTCCTTATTTCCAAAATGTTTACCACCTATGACAACTTTCACCCCATAATTTTTTACTGCAACTGGATGCCCAAATTCCTGTTAACCAACCTGCAAATTCCTTCTGCTAGTTTCACCCTCCATTTTGTCTGTTCATGAACCATTCAAAATGAGGACTAGTGACTACTGTATCTTTTTGCTTCGGCGATAAAATGTGGATTCGCGAAAACTGGAGGAGTTTTGGGTCCTCTTGACATCTTGTTGCATACCCCATGTAACCTTATTCAATTTTTTTGGAGAATACTATATCACGTCATTAAAACAAATTCCGTTTATATACTTTGGACAGAATAATTTAATTAATCACATCTTTTCGAATCTTGTGGTGTTTGTCTTCTGATTAACCTGTCGTTGACTAGTGTTCGGTTGGAGCGTGTTGGTTAGAATAAGACCTATAACATTCTGGTCAAACAGGCGATATCTGCTCGTGTTATCGGATACACATATGAACTAATACCGCACTACAAAAGTGGTCATTGACAAAAGCCTGTTGCTGCTATAACGAAGAATCTGACTAGAGATTTTGCAGCTGAATGAAGAAAAGTTACATTTAAGAAAGTAGTCAGGTATCAAGCCATTCTTAATGATAAGGAAAGTGGTAAAATAATTGGACTTTGATCACCATATCTGACTCACTACAATATATTAGGAAATTATAGACTCAAAGCGATAGAAATGTTAGTCTATTGTGGTATGGATATTTGTTCATCCACTTCATTACTCAAGCGGGTTCTTAGTGGTCGACGCACTCATACACACGATAGTTATGATCAAAATATGTTTAAACAACGGCATATAGCATTGTACAAGCTGATTAACAATTTCGATAATCTGTTATGCGCCCATTAAATCCTACGCATACTTCAAAATCTTTAAGTGATGCAGTGGTAACTTTAAGGAGTTTCCTACAATTGTTGATAGTAAGAAGGGACGAACAACTGTAACTTTCTAAACTTGCTACCATAAAATGCTAGTTTGGACCTGTAGAAAAATGGCTAAGTGAACCAAGAGGTGCATTCATCAGTTTTCACGCAGATTTACGTACACTTGCAAATCCAAAAATCCCGACATGAATTACTGCATAACAGATTTCGGAAATGTGTACTAAGAACAGATGTTGTAGGCATTTTTTTATCAGTAACAAGTAATTGAATAGTGCAGTACATATAGAAACCAATAAATTGTCGTATGTGAGATTGAGTGAAACGGAAAAAATATATATGCATATATATATCACCAGTGCTTCTTGAAAAATAAAGAGAGAAAAGAAAAACGTAGTCATGATTCCTGCGCAGAGTCAACAATAATAACAAAAGGTATACTTGAGGATTAAATAGTCTGAAGATGACGATATGAAACTTAAAACAATAGGTATCATAGTTTTCAGTGACCAATATTATGTATGACCTTATTGTGTAAAATTATACAATGAAATTAAAGAGGAAAGAAAGGAAATAACTTGAGAACGATAGCATGAAAGTTCAACTAGAAATGTTTGTAAAGAGAATAAACTTCAGAGGAAAACATTAAACTTAACAATCAAGTTGATTGTACGTGCAAAGAAGAAGGGAACAGGCATATTGTTTATACATGCATACACACAAATAAAGATACCATATCACGAAGGTGGAGTAAAGATGTTTGCTCAGGAATGTAAGAAAGTAAAACGTCTGTTGGAATGATGCTAAGCGTTTTACCTTCAAATCGAAAAATTACGTGATATCTTCTTCTTCACTTATTGTTTTCTTTAGTTTAAGCAATAATGACGTGATCCATGGTTCAAGTCGAGTTATATTATCGTATTCTTGAACAGCTACTGTGAATGCTTCCACATTCTCTTGTTCCAAAGCTTCTGACAATTTCTGTTGGTGAGGTGATAGTAAATGAACAAAGAACAACATTCAAGCTTATAAGTTTATACTAACTGCACTAATTGAAAACACCTATAACTGCATAAGTATGTCTCATTGCTAAACTTTAATAGCTAAGTGAACAATACCTCTAATAAACAATTCTTCAACTACGCTTTTATATGACGTTAAGAATAAAAGTTTACTGGGTCAGGTAAATGAGAGCTAGTTAATAGGAAATTATTATTAGATTGGCCATTAATAATATAATAGTGTCGTGTTTAGTTTATTGGATATATATATATATATATATATATATATATATATATATATATATATATATATATATATATATATATATATATACTTTTTGGTTTCGAAAATAGTTTGGCCAAAAGCTGTCTGGCAGCGCGATTACCTAAGCTGATCTTAAGAATTTTCAAAGATATCACTAGGTGATAATAACATAAAATCCGACACGTATCCAGTTTGTAGATCGAGAGGTCGTGAAATACAAGCAAACACCTAGCATTATACGATAGTTTTAACGATGTTCCAGCTCAGTGTAGTCTAAAACACAGGTTGTCGAACAGACAGAACCTTGCAGAAAATTGTGTCGGTTCAAGCTGCCAAATGTGACAGCAAACGATGCTAAACATACATTGTACGAAATGAACTACCTTCACTTTATGACTTTTAGGTTAATTCGACATTCATGACTTCGATTCTGGGCATTTACAGCTTCACTCCCTAGAATACATAAAACTCAACAGTTACATAAATACACATGCAATCAATCTGAAGATGCGGCTTATCAGCTTAATTAGCTGACTTTCAACCACGGGGTAACATTTGAAGAGGTTTCAGCAGGTAATCAGTATTATAAACATTCAAGTGAGCGTGGCTCAACTTGATCCATGCACGCCTACATGGTTGTTAAGATGTATTAGGTTCAATAAATACAGAACTGAATATCAAAAGATTTGTCAGAAAACTTTTTAGGAACCCATTTATCCTAGGGATGAGATTATCAGGCTGCTGAAAGAATCACTACACAGAAACTAATATGCAAACAAGTGATTGCTAATCGTAACCAACGGAAGAGCTGAGCTTGAAGTCAGGATAACTACACAGGAAGCACGTAACTTTTTTAGCTACAGACGATTGCGGTAGCTGATTGTGGAAACCATACAGTAATGGATTCAATAAATTCAGATGGAAGAAACATTCAAGTGTTATGTCCTGTGACAACGAACGATAAATGAACAAGCATGGATTAGAAAATGGGAAGCCAAAAGCAAAAGCATGTAAGGCTCCAATCAAAGAAATCAATTGACGGTAAGATGATTCTTGATTAGATTGCTTTCTTAGTATAGAACATTGTGATACATGATTACTTACTAGGTAACATTTCGAGCATATACTGTGACTCATTATGACAATCCTTGTGGTCGAAACATCATTCAGTCCATCCATTCATGCAAATCAAAATAGGAACAGGTATTATCGCGTAACGGTCCGAGTTGCCACAGCTCATATCAGTACATCGAGTAGAAAGTCAGTTAAGTGGAAGGTGAAGATCAGAAAACAATTCAGACAAAAGAAATATAAAGTACGAAAAGAGAAAGGTAGAATGAGAAAATGGTGGGATTCAGTATAGTGTTGTTAAGATGAGAATAATGCGTGTAAACATCTGCGCCACTGACATCGGTTCTCAGCCATATCGCCTACAGTCTCCAACCACTGGTTCCTCGTGTCCCGTGGACCCTAACCGGCTAGTCTACATAGCCCCACATGACTTAAACCAACAGTCAAAGACTGCATACATTGATGCCATGTTTTAGTCTGGCCACCTCGGGCCTTTTTCCAGCCTGAATCTACTTCAGCCAACATTGTGTGACGAGGCAGACAGCGACTAGGCTTACGTAATACATGTCTCAACCATCTCAGTCGATGAAGGTTCACAACCTCGTCAACTGGTTTACCTCTTCTCCCTAAAACTTTACTCCTGACTTCTGCGTTACTCACGTGGTGACACCACAGAATACGGCTTATGCTACGAAGGCAACGGTGGTCAAACACTTGAAGCCTTCTCATATCTTCCATCTTCAATGGCCATGTTTCACAGTCACACAACAGAACAAAGTAGACTGCTGTGCAATACACGCGACCAGTAAACAATACTGTATCGCTTTGCTCTATGTCGAATATATCAACCTGATATGAAATTCGATTGTAACACAATATCAAGTACTATTCCTAAATGAAGTAAGATATCATTCTTACAAATCAACCCATAAAATAAAGTTATATATATTGTTTTAATTATCTCTTACTAAATTTTGGCGACGAAATACAAGACACTTTTAATCCTAGAGCAAAAGCAAGGTTCGTGTATCATAAGAAGCTTATTCGGATTATTGATAAATGGTGCTATGTGGCTGGATACAAGCACTAAGAAACTGAACTGTCTGTTCTGTATTCCGAAACTAATGATGCAGGTAATAAGAGAAGCCTGATTTATTTGTAAGGAATGAACTAACTATTGCTGGAAAGAGAAAATGTTAACTAAATTCATATGCACGTGAGAAGAGAAAGGCTTTCATGGGACTATAAGCACGAAGTATAGTCTTATGGTTATGTTGTATTTTTTGAATCTTTCATTATCTTTCTAGACAAGACCATGAGCATTAACTTCAGTCAGAAGTATTATCTCTCAACACTGCAGAGATGTCACAAGTAAATGCGACGGGAAAAAAATAAATAAATAAATATTACACTGGGGGAAGATAAGCTTGGAAATACTAATTAGAACACAGGTTTCCCTATAACACGAATTCACACCTGCAAGTATATCATTTAAACGAATTCATGCATCTTTTATTTGACTGGTGACCGCACACTGAAAGTGTTTTCTAAAGGCGTTTGAAGCGATGGGTAGTGGGTTCGAGTCTCAGTGGGAACAACAAAACTCACTGAAGTGCAGGTACACTCAGATGACGAGTCCCAAATCAGACGGAAAGCGCATCCTGAATTCCTCTGCTAGTCACCAAGATGAATATAATATCATGAATATCCGATAGTATCGAGCCATCTTCATAGGAGCCTATGTGCCAACAGAGGTCGGTCCAATTCGACCCAGTACAGCAAAGGGAAATTACAAGTATCAAACAACAATTGATACCCGTTTCACAAGAGGTGACTTTTATGCCCTAGTAACCTAGTAGATGGTCCTTTGGGGGTTTTGAAGCGATGGGTACTGGGTTCAAGTCTCAGTGGGAACAACATCACTCACCGGGGTGGAGGCACATCCGGTTGACGAGTCTCAAATAGGACGAAACGCGTGTCATGGATACAAGATAATTGGAAGTTTCCGGGATGTGGGTAATAAAGGAAAATCAAACCCATAGCAGAACACATTTTACCAGTAAACGACACACTAAGATATTAATATTTCATGAGCAACTTTTAACAAGTAAAACCAAAGGCTAGCATGGAAATTCAGAATAATGGTACTGTCACATATGCAACCTTAGTTTGACTTTGACATATAACTAAACTTCTAAGTCATCCATACTTATTCTGATAGCCGATATGTCCATTTAACATCCAACTATGAAATTTTAAACTACTGAAGTAAATGCCAAAAATACACCCTGTAACAGTAATAGAGAATTCGTATTTAGAACGAAAATGGAGTGCTTATTTGCAGCAGAAGGTAAAGTTAATCAAGACGACCAGTGAAGTTTGTATTAATTTACCACCTTGCTGCTTCATTTGCACGACATATTTAAAAATAAGGATTAAAAGTTTCAAAAACCCTAGAGTTTAACATATGAAAGAAGCTTTTATGAAAAGTTCTGATCCTCATTAGAAAAACAACAGTGAAGGATACATGCAAGCAGAGAAATTATTGTACATCTCAAGACCTTGATTTGCTTTACTTTGCTAAAAAAGATGATCTTAAGTTACTGAGAAGATCGGATAAATTCAGTAGTAGTGAGGTATGTCATAAAATACACCTGTAACATTTTGCATAGAAAAGCCATAATAATCATGGAAAATTAAAACACTGCTATTTCGCCACACTCACTTTCATTAGACTGCATTCTCTAGAGTCAGAAAACATAGGGTAACATTCTTCATAGGTTTTAAGGGCCTTTTGACCATTGATCAAGTCTACACAGAAATGACAAATTACGGCCCTGAAAAGATGTCCTTTGGCACCATATTTCAACAAATTATTTTCCATTGATGCTTTGCCAGCCTATTGCATGATAACAAAAAAAGAAACCAGTTATTACGACTTTACTAAATAATTAAAAAGATGCCATTGCTGATAAGAATATGGATATATATTTTTGGGCAGTTTTTATACGTAAAATATGTAGAGTTACGCAATTAAAACGAGTATCAAGAGCACATGAAAAAAGGGCCTTAGAAACTGAGAAAAAGCATTTATCAAAATTTAGACCACTGCATAAGGGCTAACCAAATAGATATCCTTCCAAATGAAATAGAATATTAGCTATACTAAGATAATGTGTTAGATATACTAGGTAGAATTTCGTCTCTATTTATTCACCCAGCTGAATAATTAGCTACCGTCTAGTACAAAACGGTCTCAGAGAAGTTTAACACATTGTAAACACAATCACCCATCACTTAAAATTCAGTTAAACCCGGATGAACAACAAAGCCGATTGCATAACTGCGTATCACTCCACATTTCTAAGCTTCACATAATCAGAGTAGGGAAATCAATATGTAAAATGAAAATGGGTTGAGCTTATCAATAGCATTGAAAAGGACCACAATCACAGCAGAAATAGTGTGAAAGGCAAACAGAAAGACAAAACAACTATCGAGATATATAAGAAACTACAGCACGAATACAGGTAATTCCATATTAGATTGTTCACTGGATACGGAACACAATGATGCAGTATTATTGTGTACTAGATCAAAAAAAAATATGGATTTCTAACCTAACGCAATATCCATTTTCTACTCTGACGTTTTGGTTATAAGTGTGCAATTCAGATCGACAGTAAGCAACATCACCCTTATTCACCGATTCTGATTGGCTCGTGGATTAGAAACAAATAACCTAGTTTCCTACATAACGAAATCTAACAAATACCAACTTCATGGATTATTATTAAGTCTTGGTTTGGATACTCAAAAGTTTACTCCATATTACTCTTAATATAGCTTATATTCAGCGTTTTCATTCATAGTGGCTCACAAATACTAGTCAGTGATTACTTTACCTCGGCAAAATACATCAAAACTCAGAAAACCTTCATATAAGAAGATTGCAATTTGTTCACTAGTTAATAAAACGTAAATACTAATATTTCGTTACTCTTGAAATTTACTAGCAAATATTATCTAAAACACAAAGGAAACATATTTCCTCCCCAACAGGAATTTCTCTTTCTCAATGTTGTACATGAGGATGTCAGTCAATGGAATGGAAACACATGAATTGTGCTTATGCACAGTTTACTTAACACTGGAGAATGACAAGGTGAAAGTGTATAAAGACTGTAGAACCAATGGCTAGTCTGACTAAATATGAAAAAACCATAGCAACAGCTAAAAAGTTAGAAATCAAATATTTTTAGCTTAATCTGCAATAAAAACCATTGTTAAATTTGCCAGAAATTCAAAATCTGTGAAAATGAAGTCACTTCTTGACTCTTACTAATTGTTGCTTTAAGGATAAGTGTCTTAGATTTAAAGGGCAAGTTGTAGGTTGTGATGTAAACCGAATGCGCTGTGATGACAGTAACAAATTACGTCAAATTTCGATTAGATTGAAAATGGAAACTCTGAAGCAATTATGCATGGAGGGTATCTTTTAACACGATGAAACAGCAACTCAGTATCCCCTAATTTCAAATGGTTGTTTATTTAACACTGGCTTGTGATGAAATTCACACTAATATTAAACAGTGTATATCGTTTGTTTCCTAAGTTGAATATGTCGGACGATTCTATGTAGAATTATTACCACTCGACAAGGGTATTATGAGGTCAAGCGTATTTCTGCACTAACCAAGTGAATTTGCCGTTAAACACCAGTTTTAGTGGCTTGAATATCTGTTACTAGTTTCGCCCAGTAAACGTCATATAGTTTACTGTTTGCCAACCCTCTAAATCAAATGCACTCACCAACCTTGTGCACATTTATGCAGTAGCAGTGTGTGAGGGCCAATGTTACTATTTGGTTGGCCAAGCTTCTCTCTACCTCTTAACTAAGCTTACTTTCGGTGTCTTACTAAAATACTTCAAAAACATGAATTTTGGAGTCATTTGCAAATGTTAAGCAGTAGGCGTAGATCTCAAAAAAGAATTCGATATATCAAAAATAGTAAATAAAGCAGATTGATGAATAGCAATAAATATAAGAAAATGAAGAATCATATAGTCTACAATATTTTACATAACCTGAACCACTTAACTCTTAGGAAACATGAATTTAATTTCATATACCTGTGTGTGAAAAGGTTGTGAACCCACAGATATCAGTTTGTATGACAACAATACCAGATGATTATAGAAATAAAAATATAAAACAAGCGCAACTCATCAATCATCTACAATTCCAGTCATTAGGTAGGTTACGAACCATGCTTAGTGTGGGAAAACTGATAATACTACTCAACTGTCAGAACCTCTAAAGGTGGAGTGGGATTCGGACCCATGACCCACCGGTTAAAAGTGTGTGATTCAATTAGCCATAAAATTTCATTTCCATATTAATTTCAATGGTTACTCGAAATTCTTCCTGCAAATAAATGTTAGGTTAAAAAAAACACTAACTTTTAAAATCACTTGTGATTCCAGCCAAAAAATACAGCAATTAACCCAGTGCTAGGTAGCGGCTTTCAGTGTTGAGAGAAAAGGTAAAGCAATAAATTAGAGGTGTTTCTGTAGCACAGTCTATAGTGGTCTAGAGATTATGATGCGCAAAGATACTACAGTCTCTATCCGAATAAGGGGTACACTATATAGAAAAAATTACCACCGACTTGTATTAACATCAAGCAAAGTCCCAGAAGGGCATGCAATAGATGGAAAAAACAAGAAGTGTTGATCCATTGGTTACATCATCATCAACTATCGACCTGTGGATCAAGCTCTTTTTGATTGGTAGTGGTAACGGCTGAAAACAACGACGTATTAGAATGCATATTATACGACAACCTATTGTGATCGCCATGAAACACAGATATAGAGATCTTCATGGTTTAGATTTGAAAACAAACCATTCAGTTACCTCACTACCGACTATTCTTGGGTTCTCAAGTATGTACCCAAGTACTTTCTAACCGACTATGTGTCTACTCATAATTAGTATCGAGACAATAATAATAATAATAATAATAATAATAATAATAATAATAATAATAATAATAATAATAATAGCAACACCAAGTTTGTGACATGAATTTTAAACTTAACTTACTTCTTCAAACAAACTTGCCGCCTTATCGTATTGTCCGAGTTGAGCTGCGAGTTGAGCCACGGCAAGCTGACACTTCATAGCTGAACTGTTGGACTCCTCACCTTTGTAATAATCAGCTGCCTGTTCGTAATGACGAATAGCTTGCTCAACGTCAACTAGATCTTTTTCATAAATTTCAGCTATAGTTAGATGGTGTTTCGCAGCTATTGTAAATCGACCCATCTCTAAACACACAAGTGTTTTCTCAGTAACAAGCATTATTCAAGAAATATATATTACTCAATAGAAGGTAAAAAATATACTGAACACATATCGACCCTATGACATCAAAATAAAATAATAATAAAATAGGAAACGGTGAGCGAATATGTCTTATGTATCCTTTTATCTCAAAAATGATCTCTTGATAATATTTAAAAGCACATCCCCTCCATCAACACTTTTATTTTAGGCCTAACAGTGAAGGATTAGTGGTTAGTGGGGTGTGTCTACAGTTTGACAAAACATAACACTAATAGGATGACTATTTTGCACACCAATAACCATACTTGTCACAAAACCTTAAAGAAATGCAGGCGTTTACTTTGAGTGGATCTTTAATTTCACCACTGTACAACTTAAAAGTGACAAAACTTTACCAAACTACAAGACTACGTTTACACACTGATGGATTTGTACAGAATGGAGTAGGCAGTATCTCACTAATTGTAGATGCAAGGCAGAAATCAAACATGATGATGCAAAAAAAGTGGCCACATTTCATAGCATTAAGATGAAAATGAGGAAAAAATTAGTTGTATCAACTAGAGAAGACAGGCAATATATCGATTAAACATAATATTTTAGTCCAAATTCATCTGTCCTATAATACCAACAACAGTCATAAGCATCGATTTTCAGCTGTCACCTTGGAACTTAACCTATCAGTTTTCGCCATTAAATTAGTCGCAGCTTAAAAGCTTAGTTTCTCGAATGACTGGCTTACAATCATCGAAATTGCGGATTAGAGGAATATTTTGGTATGGTCAGTTGACTACTTTTTGTAACTTTTTATCTCAGTTGACAGAACATGCTCAAGGACAAAAGGGCCTAGCGTGAGTACCAAGGGTTGGGTTAAACTCCAGCTTGCTAATCTAAACACTCGACTTTTAATTAACGGAAGGTGGCTACGAACGTTGCTTTATCTAAGCTTTTAGTAAACAGTTGGTATTATAAGGCTACATATATATGAAACTAGAAGCCTACCAAAAGAAACTTGAACAAAAATATCGACTTTCACTACTTTATTGATTTACTTTAGACCATTTTGCCTATCCTTGTCAATATGGTTTCAAAATCACTGTGCTTAAATCTTTTATCCAGAACGTTTGGTATCATTTCAACACTGCTCACCGTGTGCTTTAACACATACGAGAGATAGTCACACAGCCTTAGTTCTGTCAGAAAGCAGAGATGAAAATGTGTCCTTGGTACGATACAGTCTATCACTGATGTAACTGGCTTAAAAAGTTAATTCTTCATTAGGTAACTTCACATAAGTAAACACTAAGCGTATACGAGAAATAAAAGAGTAATCAACTAACCAGTATATATTTCAATGGCCTTTGTCAGACACTGTATGGCTTTCTTCGGATCATCCTTCTTGAAAACTAACGACGCATTCACATAGTGTGTAGCTGCGTCATGTTTTGACTTCTGGCTTAAACTAAGGCTTGCAGCTTCTAGAAATGCATTACCAGCCTCTGAAAGTATTGAATGAAATGTAAGCTCAGTAAATAATTACCAGTCCAATTGTGTGCCATCTTAAAACAATTTGCTGCTTTCTCGTATAACGATATCATTTCATCCGTTTTATCTGAGCTGAAATGGATATTGATAGATACATTTCATTTATAAATTAATTAATTTGACAAGGAGTTTGTATGTTCGTCAAGCAAGGAAAATATTTTTATAAACCTACTAATAGTCGTATTCACTGCTATACAACGGACATGCACTTGGGTAGTGATTCAAATTGGAGGTTATCGAAAGAAGTGTCATATATGCATTTCAACGGATTCAAAACCAATTAATCTATGGAAACAACATCTAAGCAGTAACGAGATATCTTTTTCGGATACATTAGGTTTAAAGGACCGAAACAGTTTGATCACAACGTACATGCAATCATAAAATTCCATCAGCATATTTAAATTGAGTAATTACTGTGTGAGTTGATCTGTTACCCATAAAAAAGCAGAGCAAATAAAATCATTTCTTTGGACATAAAAAATGAATCGAATTTTATTAATACTGATAGAATTGATAAAAGTCGATGACTAAAAGTGAAGTAGGACCTGAATCGTAGTAAGATTGAAACCGGTGCTCTCCAGATAGCCAGCCAGACACTTTACCGACTGAGCTAAAAGATACAGCTGCTAACCAGGCCTTTACTTCAACCGCCGAAGGTTTTGTACGCCGTCTCTATTACGTGATGGCCTGATAGGTAACTGTCCGTCCACTATGATCCCCCTAGCTGACCGACCACCCAAGCGATGGAACGAAGTCAGAACATAGTTCACGGCAGGGTCTTGTTCTATTGGTACAGCGTTGGGTCAGTAAAATGGAGGTCACTGGTTCGAACCCTGCCGGGCATAGGATTTTGATTTCAAGCGGAATGACAAAATCAGACAACCTTAGATAATACCGTATTACCGTGTGCTATATTGAATAATAGAATCGAATACAGAATTACACCCCACAATAGTGTCCAAGTTTCATATTTATACTAACCTTACTGTATGTTTACAACGAAGCACAGGGATGGTAGTGAGCATACGGCCCTTTAACACACAATTCCAGAGAACAACCTTGTCCGATGAGTTAAAGGGAGTCAAGGAGCACAACGATCGTCAGCCTACTGTGCAACTATAAGTCGGGTATTTGATGTGGGGAGGGGTACATGTGGTCAGTACATTAACGACTAGACTTCGACATGACCCGCTGATACCATTCTTTAACAACTGTAAAGTTAGCCCCTCAACTGCTATGTCAGTTGTATCTCGTGGCCTGAAACCGGCCCAAATCTACGTCGACTGAGAAGTCGTACGAAAGTATCTGTGACTGGAAATGGTACCCATCAAGTACACTAATCCATTGATGACTTTATCTTTGAACACCTGTGAGTGTCAGTGCCTACAATAAGTGATCCCCACCAAAAGCGTGCACTCTTTTCATTTTCACTTACTTCTGTGATAGATGCGCTTATGGATATTTGCCTCTGTGACTGAATTTACACGAACTGACCTCTTATAGTATGCAGATAACGTTGTGCTATTAGACGAAAGCGCTGACGAGTCACAAAGTCTCCTTAATACGTTAAGTGACAATTTGCGAATTTAGGAATACGTTTATCCCCTCCTGGATGAAAGTTATCGTCCGAAAACAAGGGCTGAAGCAGTTGGGTGCGTTGACTACCTCACCTACTCGGGAATTCGGATCATCACTGATGTCCTGGTGGCCCAAACAATCTTAGAACGGATTTAAAAAGGCTTCCATTGGCCTTCCTTAAACTGCACCACCTGTCCTGCCAATAAAATCTACGAACACATCACTGTTCAAATGTAATGTGCATCGAGAGAAGCCCTGTAGGTGCTCGACCACAATCGCCTTCATATGATCAGTAGCATATCCTGAAATCACGATATAAAGGATATAGCTTACGCACAGTGTAAGGTTAAAGAGACAAATCAGTTGGCGAGATTATACATCTTCATTGCCCTGAATGATCGATAACATACGTCACTCAAACCTGGTAAGCGTCTAACGTGGTAAACTATGTTAGCTGAAGTATTCACGTAGACGAAATGCTTAGGGTGGGTAGATTAAACCATTGTATTAGTCAATGAAATCTGACTGTTGGTCTGAACCTACGTATGTGAATAAAGTTTTCCTAGCTAGTTTTTATGCGACACCTGAAATCAATGGTTGAAGACTAGATAGTATCATTCCAAATCTGCTGTAGTAGCATACTTGAGTCTACACTCGGTTCATTCTAAGCGCTTTATTCAACTTCGTCATTTGTCTCAGTTTCTTTCTCATTTTATGGCTTTCTAATATATTACTTCGATTTATTTGAGTTCTGTCTCGTTTTATTTTTGATGTAACGAAGCTCAGTTAGACTATCAGCGATAGTCATGGTCTGACTAATCTGTATTATTAATTAGATTTAACGCACTAAGCTACTTTGTACACACCCATGCTGTAGGCAATTAGCCACACACCGTGTGAGGGTTAGTGATACTACCTAGCTGCTCAAACCTCAGCAGGTGGAGCAGGACCTAAAACCGTTACCAAATGGTTGATAGCCATCTCCGTAAACCACTCAATCACAGTTCCATCGATACTGGCTGATGATTGGAGGTGAAGTGAAAATCTAGGTCGCGGTGGCAACACAGACTGCTACTCAACAGCGTTTGCTCCTATGCTGACGGTGCCTATCTGCATATACGAAAAGCTTTGCTGAAATTTACAACCATGGCTACCGAAGAATGAAAACGCATAAAACGTACAGCCATTCAACCGTAAATTTCTTCGAAGCACTGCCAGAGTGTGATGAATTCAGGCGGTAAGCCATACCCAGTTGAAGTTTGGAACAACGAAAATAATAGACTAGATGAAACTGTAAGACTCCAATGACTAAAAGTGGTTGGACATATCCTACACTAAGTAACTACCATCTGCCTTGATGCAAACGTTCGGCAACTGGATGGAAGTTGAGGAATGTTTAACAAAAACAGTAAAAAATACATAGTATTTGAATTTTAGCGACAACCGCTTAGGGCAGTGTGGCTCACCTAGCCGATGTGGAGTTACTAAAATCGACGATTGGATAAGCTCGATGGAACATATTATAAAACAATCAAAACGAAGCAGACATATTATTGATTCCTACCCACAGCATAAGTATATTGCTACTCATTATCCATCTTCAAGTCCCACTAACAAAATTCAGCTTGGGTAGTTTGATGTCTTCATAATCCTCCTGATTTCTCTCTATTCGACTGTCAGCCGTCCGTAATTACAGACGGCTAAGATGAGCGCGCGCTTTGAAAACAAGAAGTGAATTTTCCTACGCTTTTGACATTTTTGCTTTTGTTATGTAATCCACATCAAGAGCTTTCATATAAACCTTGACTCCAAGTACTTAAGTCAGTGTTTGAAGTTTAATCATTTTTTGAGGCTTAAGGTTGGTCTTTGTGTTGTCACAACTTAAGTCCCCTTGTCGGAATCTTGACCGAGTACTTTAGTTAGTACACGACAAGAGTAAATAACATGGCGATAAGCATGTTTGCGGTCGTCCCAGCTGTAAATTTCCAGTAGATGAAGGTATGCAGTGTGATGCATGTGAATGCTGGTTCCACAAAGTTTGTACAGGATTGACACCAACCGTGTACAAGCGTTGCAGTAAACCAGCTTCTCCCTGGTTGTATGATTTCTGCTGCAAGCCATCGCCAACCCTCATCCAGGAAGCTGTTGAAAATCTACTTGTCAAAAAACAGCTATGTGGAAATGATAGCTGCTATTCTCATGCGGTATCAGATGATGACGCTGCAAGTGTAATCGTTAATATATCTGACACAGGACCTCTTAGTGGACTAATGGATGCTGGTGATCCAGTTGGTGAAATTACACCAGTCCCGAAGCATACTCGACGCAAGAGAAAGCCAAGGGCAAATGGTACACCAACCATAATGCCTGAGGATTCACCGAAAGCCTGCATCTCTGGTAACAGCGTTGACTCTGTAAAAGTGGTCAACGAATCTACACGGATTTCTCCAAGAAAGCATCCGAAGGGACTGCCAAAGGTTATCACGGGAGACACTAAGCTTATGAAACCTATTGAGAAGGTTTCAAAGGCCATCAACACACGACTCAAAGATCCCACTCCAGCGCCCAGTTTAATCTTCTGGAACGTTGAGGAGTCATCAGACAAAGATGCCTCAATATGTCACGTCCATGACCTGCAACTAGTCGAGTCGGCCATCAGACGTATTCTGCCTGAAAAGTCTAAAGGGGTACAAATCTCCAAAGTAGTTAGGCTAGGTAAGAAAATGGACGAAAAACCTGATGAGAAGAGAATTTTAAAGGTTGTTTTAGGCAACAAGGAGGAAGTGGATGTACTCTTGAGTAACGCATCCAAACTACGAAATTCGGATATCCGCATCCGACCTGACTGGCCCCTCGAGGACCGCATAAAAAGAAGAGAAGCTGTTGCCGAACTTAAGGCTCGACAGGCTAATGGTGAAAATGATCTTAAAATAGTGGGTTTTCGGGTTGTGAGGGTTTGGAAGCGAATGCTTTCAAGGCCTATATGGGTGGGTGATGGAACTCTTCCAACACAATGAAAGTTATCTACACTAACGTTCGCAGTATTAGAAGCAAAATGACAGACCTCGAGAATCTAATCTGCGAGCTAGGTCCTGACGTAGTAGCCCTTACTGAAACCTGGTTGATCAAGGATCTAGATTTTACGCCACTCCCCGCAGGGTATTACTGTGTAAGGACGGATAGGGTTGTGGGTCGCAAAGGTGGCGGCATACTACTATATGCTAGGGATGACGTCCACGTACGGTTAGTCACTTCTGAAGCACATGAATGCGGGACCTGTGAAGTGGCCAGTTGCGAGCTGAAGTCAAAGCATGGTTTCTGTACTATCGGGGTCATTTACCGTAGTCCATCCTGCCTTGCAAATGACTTCGTACTAACCCATATATGTAACTGGAGTAAATGTAACAGATGCCTAGTAGTTGGGGATCTGAATGCTCCACACATAAACCGGACGGAGCTAAAAGTTTCACCACCAGGTGGTTCCTTCGAAAATAACTTACTTTTGACGGTCTTAGAATCTGCTTTAGTTCGAAACGTAACATGTGCAACACGTTACGATTTTAAACACAAACCATAGTTATTAGATTTAGTTTCAACCCATCAATGTGAAGACATTCTGGATCGACGATACTTCCCTCCGTTAGCTAACAGCGACTAACTTCTGGTTTTCGGACTAATGAGTTTGATTATGACACTGCCTCCCCTAGACCTAATGTATGGCGTGCGGACATTTCAAGTATAAGGGATTGCGCAATCAGTAAGGATTGGACTGTCGACAAGGACTCATCAATTGAGAATGCATGGAATAGGTTTAGAACTCTATTTGAAGAGGTAACGACGCCGTTTATTCCATGTTTGACTCCATGACGATCTTCACATCGTCCTCCGTGGTTTAGTAAAGACATTAAGAGACTGTTAAGGCGGAGGAAACGTTTATGGGACTTGTTTCTAGAAACTAGACTGGAAACACTTAAGACTGAGTACTGTAAAGTCCGTAATCTCTGCAAGACTTTGGTTACACGGTCTCAAATGTCCTACGAGAAGCAGCTTGTGAGGGATTGCCAAAATTGTCCTAAAAGACTGTTTGCATTCGTCAGAAGGAGGACTAAAATAAAGGCGGAATCCCCTCCCTGGCGACGGATGAGAAGTCCGATAGTCTGGCGGAATCTAATCTGTCCAAAGCTGTCTCTCTGATTACTTTAGTGAAGTCTTCTCTGTAGATCACGACGATGAAGTGCTAAATAGTGGTGTCAGCACTGTTCCACTAATAGATGCAGTGTTCACAACAAAAGAAAGAGTCTTACAGTTGCTCATTAACCTCAAACTTGGAAAATCCTCAGGTCCCGATGAGTTGCATCCCAGACTTCTATCCTCGCTAGCAGACATCCTTGCTGAGCCAGTCACGGATCTTGTCAACATGTTCCTAACTCACACTCGCCTCCCTAGAGACTGGAAAGATGCCATAATCAGCCCAGTCTTTAAAACCGGTAGTCGCTATTTGGTGTCTATCATCCTGTGAGTCTAACTAGCATAGTTGTTAAGATTTTAGAAAAAATAATTCGTGACAGGGTACTTAAACATGTAGAACCAAGCAATTTTTTGGCACGACAGCAACATGGTTTTCGTACTGGGCACTCCTATCTAACTAATCTCCTTATCGCAAGAGAGGAATGGGTTGCAGCCCGTGATTGCAAGCTGCCAACAGATGCCGTGTTTATAGACTTCAGTAAGGCATTCAACAAAGTGTCGCATGTAAAATTACTAGGAAAGCTCTCCTCCTTCGGGTTTGGTACTTCACTGCAAGCTTGGATTAAGGACTTTTTACACGATAGAAGGCAAAGAGTAAGGGTAAGTGGGACACTATCCTGGTGGAAACCTGTGATGAGTGGAGTTCCTCAAAAAACAATCCTAGGTCCACTACTTTTCTCGTTATATATCAACGAATTGCCACATATGCTCAACTCTTCGGTACTGTTATATGCCGATGACGTAAATATTTGGAGAGCCATACGCAGTGATGCAGATAGGTATGCACTTCAGGCGGATTTAGATGAACTAGTAGGTTGGTCCAAACGTTGGTGCCTGAAAATCAGTTGTAACAAAAGTGCAAAAATGCACAATGGTCATAGCAATTGTTTCCAGTATCCCGTTGATGGTGCACCACTACTTCCAGTCCTTGAAAAAAAAGACTTAGGTGCCATCATTAGTCATGATTTGAAAACCTCGGCAAGCTGCAATGCAGCTGCAGCAAAGGGCTTTCGTATATTATGGTTCCTCCGCAGAGCTTTCAAATTTTTTGATGAGGACATGTTTAGAATACTCTACTCTACCTACGTTAGACCTCACTTGGAATACTGCATTCAGGCGGCCAGCCCATGCCTAAAAAAGGATGCTGACGAACTCGAGTTTGTTTAAAGGGTAGATACTAAGCTTGTGGCAGGCCTTTCGAACCTATCCTATGAAGAACGACTAGATCAGCTAGATTTATTCCCACTGTCTTACCGTAGAAGATGGGGTGATCTCATACTGGCATTTCGTATTCTTAATAATGACTTCGGTACTGATATGTCCTATCTTTTCTTCCTTGCTTGAACTGACTATCTCGGGGGGCATCACAAGAAAATTCAAAAACCGCGGTCGAATCAACTTAGCGTGAATCTACTTTTTTCCCATCGTGTTGTCAACATCTGGAACTCCTTACCTCAGCAAATAGTATCAACACCTTTTGTCAACGCGTTCAAGGAGAAACTAGATCTTTACAGAGATATCCTCTGCAAGGATTAACACAGGCCAACTGGCCTACTATCCTTATAACTGAGACTGAATGAGTAAACCTTAGAGTCTAATGGGCATATTCGTCTGTACAATTTGAGCGGACACCATCTTACTTCGAGAGAGACTAAGAACCGATAACAAAACGAGCATACATATAGTTGTTCACTTCCAATTATTCGCTTTTCAGCCAGTAAATTAACGTATACGTTACATACAACTTTGTTAACTGACTGAAACGTCAAGTAGCACAGGCCTTACCATTTCGTTTATTTCTTTGTACAAAACGTATTTATGAGCCTAGCCATGGCATTCTCTCATGGAATATAGCCCAAAATAACTGCGTATGCAAGGCTTACATAACAACCTTGGTAATTAACATGACCGCCTGACAAATATTGAAGAGACATTGTGATTCAGATACTCACCCTGAACCAAAGGAGAAAAGTCCTTTCTTATTTTTCTTCTGCGCTTCAGCAATTAGCTCCCTTGCCTTCTTCTCGTTCTCGTCCATTATCTTGGTGTTACGAACACGTTTTAAATGACCTCGGCAGTTTAAAGTGTTGTGGATACAATTGTGAATGAACTATTATTTCGGCAGAAAGCTGTGTTTGTGCCAGAAGACTGTAGGCTTTCTGTTTGTTTTGCTTGAAAGTCTGTTTCTCAGGTGATTAACTGCAGCTATAAAGGCCACTGCAAATGCAGATTACATATATGTTAATTGAAAGAAAATCAGCCGATTTTCGACTCCCTTCGGTCTGTAGTATGGGTTGCATTGCGTAAGGACCAGTTGTTGAGGCTTTTTCGTCTCACCTGTAATTAGGTAAGTACGTTATTACAACGGGGTGCGTAGACCAGCGTGAGTTTAGTGGTAACCACGAGAGTCTGGAATGGGAAAGAAAGGGAGAAAAGATGTAGGTCGACGACTCAGCAAGCACACACAATGTACTAACATTCAATGATAAAAGACAAGTGACAGACGGTAGGACTTGAGAAAGAAGAGATGGGGCCGCTTGGAAATTGAAATTAGAAGGTGAATGAGTAAGATTTTGATTCCGTTGCAGTTGAAAGAATCATAGCCTACGCGCCTCCTGTTCAAGCCTAATAAACGAATGCCCACGGCATTTAGGTCTCCATAAACAAGAAGGAGGCCGAACTTGCCTTAGTGTTCATAATTCCGAGAATATTTCAAGTAATAAGTCCAGCCACATCCCTCAACCTACGGCGCATAATTATCCAGCAGAACGTCGCATTGCCTTCCATTGTGATTCAGTAGTCTTCATGAACTTGACGAACCGTCCTGAGTTTTGCTCTGGCTTTCGGGACAGGAATAGGCAGACGCTGTGGGACAACACTATCGTCAGTCTAAGCCTATTCCGAACAAACTGATGACACCAGCTAAGCGATACCTTGATTTTAAATGGTTGTTGGCGGAATGGAAGCTTTCGCTTTCGTCGATTACTACTCCTTGCGATTGTTAACCTGCTCACAAGTACAGAAAAAGGAAAACGGGGTGGTTAAAGTGTGAAAAGTCAATTATTTTTGGGCGGATTCCAGATATACGTCAAGTGGGTATCCATTCGGCGTTTAAAGGATTCAAACGAAGCAGCTTGGGTCACGTCTTCACGAGGAGCGTTCCAGCGTTTAACAGCTGTTAGGGAATAAAAGTTGTATCTGACATCTAGCCTGCTGTGCACCAGGCCTAGTTTCTGTGCGTGTCCTCTAAGATTAGTGCTACAGCTAAGATTTAATAAGTGACGGAGTGGGTGGCCAGGCGTGCAGAGAATGTTTTGAGTCATTATCAAGTCCCCTCCTGGCCTTCTGTATGCCGGAGGATACACATGCGGTGCAACCAGTCGTTCTACGTACGCTCTCGACCCAATTCCTCAAACGGATTTTGGCGAACGCCTCTGGGTGCGTTCTGAGTTTAGTTTGTCCTTCTGGGGATGAGGGGGGAAGACAATGGTCCACAACTCCGGGGGAGGCCGTACGAAGCTATCGAAAATTCGATGCGAGCATCTACGATCGAGCCGTCCGAAACTTCGTCTAAGGGTTAGTAACGTGAGGTTTCCACGAAATGAGTTTCTGTCGCATCTTGCAAAAAATTTTGAGTCTTGAGGGGTGAAGATACCCAAATCCTTCTCTGTCAGTGAGGCCTCAAGTTCCACGCCGTTGAGGCCGCATACATGAGATGCATCCTGTTTCACGTGTACCACCCTGCATTTTAACCCGGTCCACAAGAGAAAACCAAAAATCTTAAGAATAACGTAAGCCAGCTTTCATCTCATCCAATTGACCACTGGAGGGTAACCAACTTCACGTTATCCAGTCCTAAGTGCTGGCCGCGGTGTATCGGTCATTTTGTATTGGAGCCATCAGACTAGGCGGCTCAGCATCACAGTGAACTTTGATGGATTCTAGTCGGATGCAGTCAATCAAGGGGAGGCCCCGAACCTAGGTCCGGAACCTAGCATTCGCCATCAAGGTGCATCTACAAACTCAACGGATTTGAACCCGCGTCACCCATTGTTGCAGACATTGACAGCGAGTATCAACGAACACGAAACCTGGGTCCAGGGCTTCATACCGATTGCCCCCATCCAACTAATATACGGATCTGATCTGTTTGAAGAAAGAGCAGGGCTGAGAATTCCAGCGCGTAAAACTCAAAAGTCTAGCTGGCAGCACTCAAGTGCGGACGGTGGTTCTCATGACCACCTAACACCCCTTGACTTCACTGAGCTTCAAGGGTACGGTTTTAAAACAAGACATTCATTTATCAGCAAACTGCTCACTGTAAACGACGGTCGGCTCGGGATAGTTGCTCGTCGACGTCCGACAGGTGTAGTACAATGCGATCTTCCGTTGCCATTGTTATTGTGCTGAAGGCCATGGCTACCTACGCTCGTAATTACCAGCTCAGAGGTATGGACTCACGGTTCGCTTCAACTGCAGAATGCCATCTGCATACATGATAATGGTGAGTGGGCCCAACACAAATCTACAACATGTGATTTATATGGATTCGAAAGTAGATTTCATTCTCTCCAGAATTTCTGATGCAGCCGCTGACTACTTTATCACCAAATAGGACGGTTGGGGGAGGAAGAATTCTTGGTGGTTACTGTCCTTTAGAACGCGAAGGTGAGTTTCGTTCAACACCATTCATACGTTCTTCTTCTGTGGTAGAATGAAATGTTAGGCGATGGCGTAACATCTTAAAACGCCACGGCGTCAGGCATATCTCCACCTGAGTATGGCGAGAAATAGACTAGAGGAAGGTTCCTATCTTAAAATGTACTTTCATGAGAATACTGAAAGCATAGTTACACTTGCCTGGAGAAACCTTATCGGTGCAAGGCAAAGAAAATTCGTCACCGAACCAAAAAAGATGCCTTGTCTCAGGCCGATATCCCCGAAGTAGGCCTGAACCTCCCCATTTCCGAAATAGTCTTTGGCAGTCACATCCTCAGTGGTGTGTATGTTGTCCGAGAGTAAATTTAGGGATGAGAATAAGTAGCGACTCCAAAAATAATTGCCAGTTTTCATGGCAAAGAGTTCTTCTTTCGGAGGTGTTATCTGTAAGGGAAAAATGATCTGAAAATCCCTCCCGATCACCCTTATTTGATTGTATTGACATTTATTTTAACATTTTTACCCTCGTTATGGATGGTGTACCTTTGACCCTCGCCGGTGTAATGTTATTTGCTTGTTTAACTGTCTTATTTGACTTTACACTCGGTATTTGCCTTTGTATGTTTGAGACTTATTATGAGTGTTTCACTTTCCTATTATGTGACGCTGGACTGTTGATAAGGTGATGTTGTTTTACTGCGCACGACATTTTGTTTTGGTTCAACTTACGGTTGTGCAGTGATTTGACTGTTTGTCTTTTGACTGTCTACTGGGAACGTTTGTTTGTTGATTTGATTCCTGTAGGCAGAGTTTTGATCCCTTTTGCCGGGAATATTCCTATTGACCGACAGGTATTTAACAGTTGTATTTTTTAACCAGTTTTTACCGTGTAGTACGTATTTGTACCCGAGAACGTTTTGGACTGTATAGTTACCCAACGGCACTGTTGAGGTATTTTTGTAATTTGACATAACTTATTGTTGCTTTGATAGTACCACAGATTTTGTTACGAATCTACTATTGAATTACTACAAACCGTGTTTTGATATTTCGATCCAACCTTTGACTGTGCGTCACTCGCGGAAGTTAGGAAGCTATACAGTAGAACGCAGGAACTAGTCAGATTCACGTCAGTTGGCACCGCCTAGCTATTTCCCGCGTTCAGGCCAAGATTATTGGATTCTGGCCGCTACAGTACTCAACAACCCGTCACTGCTGTACCTGGCAATCGCAAGGTGTTCCTTGAGTCAATTCCGGACGGGGAAGGTGACATGTCCATGGATCCGACCTCAGATACCAAGCAAGTCCCTCTTGATGTTATTTCATGCCGTGGCTCTGATAATGGTACAGTTATTGACTATAGTAAGACTAGTCCTTGTAGGACCTCTGCTCAGTTGAAGGTACGACAGTTGGATGAAAGGCAAGAGTTGGAACTTCGTGAATTCAAGGCTAAACAAAGACAGGAAAGGTTGCGTCTGCATAAAGAACTCAACTTAGATGTGAATGGGGGTTTAGGTGATACCTTTTCCTTGGATGATGATATAAAGTGTCACAAATCAGTTTGTCTTGGCATTGACCCTCATAGCAGTTCTGATCGTGAAACGACTAGCCAGGCGAGCAGCGCAGAAAACAAAGGGGTTGCCGCTACGTTGCCTTGTGTCAGTGTTGGCCATGAGTTGCCGAAAGTAGAATTAAGCAGCTTTGACGGACATCCAGCCAAATATTGGAAGTTTATGAGGCAGTTTGAGCTCTACGTTGTCTCTAAGGTTGATGATGATGGACAGAGGCTGTTATACTTGTTACATTACTGTAAAGGTAAGGCCAGGGAGGCTATAGAGGAATGCATTATGTTACCACCATCTGCTGGTTATCGTAGGGCTCGGGATATACTCAGACGTTTGTTTGGAAGGACTCATGAAGTCAGCCGGGCCTTACTACAGGATCTGATGGAATGCTCGAACATAGAACAAAACGATGCTGAGGCAATGTCGAGGTTAGCTATAAAAATGGAAAACTGCGCTATAGCCCTAGAGCAAATGGACTATACTGCGGACCTTAACTCCTTGAGAACTTTAGAAGGTATAGTAAAGAAATTGCCCCGTGTGTTACAGATGAAATGGGCGGAGACTGTCGAAAAGCTAACTGAAACCGAACGAGAACCTACCTTCGCAGAGTTAACGCAGTTTGTGTCAGCACGTGCGAGCATTTTGCTAAGTAGGTTTGGACAGCTGGCAACAAGCAGTCGACGACCAGATAGTAAAATAGCATGTTCCACGCAGCAGCTAGTACCCGTTGGGGGAGTCCTGAAACCTTCATGTATATTTTGTGGAGGGAACCATGTAGTCACAAAATGTACCACATTTCTGTCGTTACCGGTGGATGAGAGATGGTCGAAGGCTAAAGAAACA